CAAACTCGAGGGCGATAGATGGTGCTCTAAGGATGGCACCGCGAATGGCTCGAGTGATGATGCAGATTCTTCAAAACGTGTCCGTATATCCGGCAGGCCCAATCTGTGCGTGATTCGATCAGGCCAGGATTGGTCCGACACGCTACCAGGAGAGCGCAAACTCTACCTCGATACAATGCATCCGGTGCTCGTCGAGGGGGTAAAGTTTCTACGTGATGAAGGGCGCGAGGTCGGATGTTATGCGATGAACTTGTGGGATGTTGTGGATTCAAACTCGTTCGAGGCGAACAGTGAAAGAACGTTCGGTTTGGGCTATTTCGATGACCTGGCGTCGCTTGAATACTGGAGTAAAAGCCACCAGACGCATATCAACATCTTCGGAGGCTTCCTGATGTATGCGAAAAAGTTGAACAATGTATTGTCTCTCCGGCTATTTCATGAGGTTTACGTGCTGGAGCCGGACCAGCAATTCTTCGAGTACATTGGGTGCCACGCCGAGACAGGGATGATGAATGCGCGCCGATCTTGAAACCTGTAGATAGATTGTTCTGAACGATACATTCATTGACAACCTGTGGTCAGCGTTGCAATTGAAAATCGTGAGTATTGAATGAAAGTTGCCATCACGATTTTGGTACTGAGAGTGAAAGGTTCCCCAGAGATGAAATCCGATAGGGTGTAGCGCTGTTGCCTTATCGCCTTATCGGCGTCGTGACGCGACTTGGTACGCGTCAAGCCTCACTGATATCCATCAACCGAAGGCTACGCACAACGACCCTATCAGCAATATCATCTACAGCAAAAAGGAAAAGCGTCTCATGTGGCGTGGGCAGTTCTGGACGACCGAGACCAGTGAAATGGTGACGCGAACAAGCGATCACGCGGGAAGGTACCCCGCGAAACATGATAAGCGGCACGGAGCTTACGCGGGGATATGGCGACACCATCACTCCCTGGAGGCTGCCTGGCCTTCCATCGCCCTCTAGCTGTTCTTGATTTTCTATTTACACGCTCTTGAAAGCACTGCTCTCGTCCCTTGAGTGCGCCACTACTCCCAGCGCCATTTGTCCGGCTATTGATGTAACCACTATCCGTTCACCTAGGCTCAGCTCCGAGGAGCTGTCGGTGCCTTGGACAGCAGACCTGCGATAGGTATCACGGTATTTTGTACTTGCAATCATGTAATCCTCCATCTCTAACAAGCCACAGAGCTAAAACTCTCGGTCTACCTCCTGTATCCCTTCTCCCTCCGATTCCCCTGACGGCTTCCATCATGACTTGGTGGCGCCGGGACCCGACACTCGCTCCTTTCCAACGCTATGCGCAACGCATCCTCCGCTCCGACGACGCGGCCCTTCGCACGCGGTGCTTCTCGCGCACGCCCTCCAAGTCAGCACAACACGAAGACAACAATGGCAACAAACGTCCATCCGGCATGTCCAACCTGGAATGGTTGCAGCTAGAGCAGTACCAGCAATGGCGAAGGAAACTCATGAATGATCCATACGAGGCCATCTTCGGGGCCAGCAACGAGAGGTTGAGTGGCAAGGGCAACAAAGACTGGGAATGGCTTGCCAATAGCATTCCTAAGTGGATGTTGAGAGAGATGGAGAGCCACGACGACAACGCTTCGCCGCCGAAGCAAGGCAAGAGTGGCAGTATCGATCCGAACTACCCGAGACGGGTCAAGATCGATAGTGAAGAGCGCGATATCCGTAGGGAAAGAGAATCACACTTCCCCCAACCGTCATCCAGGGCAAGACTGCTCCCTGACGACCCGACTGGCATTGAGTCACCCTCTGATCTCAGGAGGCCGCGAGAGCAATTTCATGTCAAGATTGTTGGCCGCCATTCAGGATTATCGACCGAATCTACAACAAGCGCACCTCGTGCCACAGCGCAGGACTACGAACACGAGCAGCCGACGCGACCGAAGAGCACGGAGTCGTTTGAAGAATACATTGCGAAAACGAAAACGGATGCGGCTAAGAAGATCGAACAATCCAGCACGGTCGCACCCAGTAGAGAACCTTCCTTTATGGACCGCTTCCTGACAGAGAAGCCCGAACACGAAGACGCGCAACGACACGGCACGGCGGAGACAGGCAGCTGGAGAGAGACCACACTGCAAAGGAGGATACCAAAGGACGTCGTAGCAAAGCCTGATGCCGACTCTGCGCCCATGGCAAAGGCTGGTGACGAGTCGTCAATGTCAGCATCCTCAACTGACGGGACCCACGAGCTCTCCTCAGAACCACATATGCAGGAAACCCTCCCGTCGCTTCCTCCAAGCTCAGGTCCTCTACGCACGAAGCAACCTTCCACGCAAGAACACATCCCACCACAGGAGACACCCAGTACACAAGGCAGCGTCACATCTGTGAGGTCAACGTCAAAAATCTTGAGCCAGTTGCCCAAAGACGACTTGGACTTCTTGAGTGCGGACGAGATTCGTGCGAACATGGCCGCAAGAAGGAGCAAGGTCCTGGACGAAGAACGTAGAAAAGCGGATCGGGCTAGATTGGAGAGCACTTTCGAGAGCACCCCCAAGGCAAAGACCGGTATGGATCCGATGCTTGAGTCCAAGATCATCAATGACCAATACGTTCGTCGAATCGAACGGCAAATGCAGCGGCCAGAGATCTCGTTTGATTCACAAGAATCCAGTGAGCCCAGGACAACTACAAAGATGGACGAAATCCCATACAAAGCAGACGAAAGCCAGTTGGAGTCGAGCGTCGAACGGATGAAGTCTTGGCTTGAAGAAAGCGGTGCAAGATTCTCTAGTCTTTTCTGGCAAGACCCGACCGAAGAAGCGGATGCGAAGAAAACCCGCTTGTTCTTCGACAAGATCCTGGCACGTATTCGCAAGGGTCGCACGACGATGAAGCAAGTGGTCGAAGACCTAGAGGCAGACATTCCAGCATCTAAACCTCTCTTGAGGCGTATGAAAGCGGATGAGGACCTCCTGGACTCTGCTATCAACACTCTGCGACAACGCTCAGAAATCGGAAAGCTTCGTTCATTGACGCCGAAGAAAGTAAGGGCAATTCAAGAATTGCGTCTCCGGTACCAGAGCACAGACAACGACCTTAATAAGGCATACGCCTTGCTCCAAGATCTCGGTGACTCGGACGCAACAAAGAACGTCTCACCAGCGTTCAAAAGGCGCCTGAGCATTGCGTCGAAAATTACCCAGAAGAACGCTCACCTTACGCGTTATCTCATCTGGAGTCTACAGGCCCGACTCGAGGACCCGGAAATTGCTCAGAGCATGCTCGCAAACTACAAAGCTGTTGCGAACAGTTTGCTAACTCTTAGAGATACACAGATGGCCCTAGCTCGATTGCTGGAACGTGCCATGCTCGTTTACGGCGTGGCTCCACATCTCTGGGAGGACATCAAAATCTTCCCCGATTCCTCAGCTCTGGAAATTCCGCAGGACCATGAGCAGTCATCTCAGACTAAGACGCCTTCCGCTATGAGTGATGCCGACAAAGCCCAGCTCCGTGCCAAGGTAGCTGCTGAAGAGCGTCTCGCGCATGAGGTCGATGCACAGAAGTCCGCTATGCGTGGACTCTCAGATGATGGATACGCGCGTGTGCCGAAGGCAACACCGAACAAATCATTTGAAGAGCGAGGACCTCTTGCACACAGCCTGTTTAGACCGTTCGGACCCGTTTTGGAGAGCTTAGAGAGTGAGACGCCATCTAAGATAGGCGCAACAGAGGCCGACGTGAAGGTGACCCACAAACGTGACGACTACCAACTGGCAGATAACATGCAAAACTCGAATGGGGATACATCTGGTCCTGTCGCCTCTGATCAGGAGCAGCCGGCCCGTCCGGTTGAGGAAAGCAAATTGACTGAAGATCATGACGTGAAGAAGTTTGACATGTTGAAGGATGATCCTACATTGGGCGACACGTCATATCATGCCAGTGACCCAACTGCCGCAGATACCGTGCGCGGAGAAGAAGTCACAGCAATTGATGCTGCCCCAGAAACTGCGCAAGAAACCTTCACCGCTACTCACACTACTTCATCGACCGACCATGCCACTCTAGACCCGGAACCGAGCACTGACGACACTGTTGGTGGAACAACTCAGTCAGGCGCATCGTCGCTTTCGCCTGAAACGGGCTCACCGACGATCTACACAATCCTTTTGCACGATCCGCACAGCGGCAAGCTTTCGCTGACCACCTCTACAACAACGGAACCCCACAAGGCCCCTCCTATGATACCACTACACGAAGCGCTATCAACTCTCGAAGAGCCCGCCAAGTTCATTCCGTACATTGAAAATGGTCTTGAGATCGTCAAAGCGAACAAGTATTTGCTCGTCTTGCGCGGCGGTCTCAATTCCACAGCGTCTACCAGACCCTTCCAAACGGCCGACCCATCAACCGCAATGGAGCACAAAAAGGACGTTGGTACCACAGGAGAAAGAACTTACATTAACCCGATAGATGGAACGGCACGCCTTTCGCCTACCGGCTACGTTGGTCCAGAAGAGAGCGAAGAGCAACTTGAGAAGGATTTCACTGAGCGCAGGCAGGCTGCCGAGCGAGCAGTCAGTAATCAAGAGAGCAGCACAGAACAAGACCGGAGCGGACGAACGACCAGAGATAAGAAGAAGGGCGGCAAAGCAGCGGGTATAGTCAAAACGGCCATCTGGGCCTCGGCACTATGCTACGTGGCCGGTGTGATTGGGGAACTTGCTAGTTAAGACGATTTTCGCGGCATAACATTCATATCACGAGTCGCTCACCTAACGGCGTCTATTCTTTGTTGCTAACATCACTTTTCGTATCAGCGTTGGGTTGGCGTTGGCGTTGGCAGGTCACCGCTCCGGTCCAGACCATACATATATGTATATCACCTTTTTCAACACTCTATTCCTCAATCTTACATACTCTAAAGGGCCAAATACTCGCTGAAAATGCCTTGATACATCAGAGAAACCGTCCGCAGACCGGCAAACCACTAGTACCGCTCTAGAGGGTCATACCCTTGAAAGCCCTCACGATAAATGTCACGGCGCCTTCAATGTATTCGGGACGGATGTAGGTCAAGTGGTTGAACTGACAAGACCCAGAGTCACAAACCTAAATTCCATGATCAGCTTCGTTTGTTTCCCACCCTTGAATAGCAGGGTTGGTAGACTTACAGGATCGCCCTTTGCACAAATCTGCAGCACTTTTGCCTTCAGGCCATTGGGGAACTTATCTCCAACTACGCCCAGCCTCAAATTTGGGTCTCCAAACATGACAACCGACTTGATCTTGGGGAACAGAGAAGTAGGCAGTCTATCTGCAGCTCGGTGCATGATGCTAGCGCCTTGCGAGTAGCCAACCAGAGAAAAGGTCTGATTTGGGCAGGCGGAAGACTGCGCGGTCAAGCGCTGAACAATGTCATCGACGCCTTGCCGTCCACCAGAAATGATTTGCGAGCTGGCTGGGTACTGAAAGGAATTCAGTTGGTGATGCTATGTTCGAAGCAATACTTGGATATCGTACCTGGACCGGATACCCCTGTACTCCAGACAGTTCCGCTGAAACGTTGCTCACAACAGGGTCACCAACGATGACGCCGTATTTTGGGAAGCTAGGCTCGCTGGTCCCGCGAGCTAAAAACATGGTCAATGTTGCGGTAGATATTTGCGGTCATTGAACTGCAGCTTACCAACGAGTATCTCGTAGTCGGAACATCCTCTGGGGACATCGCCAGGAACGATTGGAACCGGCTCCCCGATTTCCACACCGCTACTAGGCAGCTCGGGACATTCCTCTTGGGCAGAAGAGGTGGCAAAGAAGGCAAAGGCCAAAAGAGGAGCAATAGAAGTGTAGCGCATCTTCGTGGGCAGTGAACTTGATCTGCTTGTGTAGAACTTGCTGTTACGCATATGTTGGCAGGAGACAACAGTGCCTTATAAGTTCGCCCATCTCGAACACAACTTCCATCCCTATCAAACGTCACAGGAAGATACGACAAGGTTGAGTGGCATTGTGTCGTTGAAAGATTGGATGACTGTGGTGGCTGAAATGGGACCTCGGCAACTGTGACATGTTTGACAAGGGTGTCGATGGTGTTGCGATCATCTGCACAAAACATCTTCTTGGCTTTGTGAACCTTTAATCTATTCGATTTTTGTACCGAGGCATGATTGCAGCCAGTTGAAGACCAGGAATGAAGTAGTATGGGGAGTTGTGTACGTTTGACAGTAATGTGTGGTAGTATCCTGCGCGTTACACCAATTACGTTCTTTTGAGTTGTTCACGGCTACAGATCATCAATCTTGAACACAGTCGTCTTTTGTCTGGGTCGGAAGCAATGACCGTCAGTACGAGGTGAGTGCATGCCTGAGGTATCGATATGGCTGTGGTTGCAACCGCGAAGATTACAGTAAGCAACAGTTCATCGCCGTGGCGGGACGCCTAATCCCGTGGTCCCACGTCTTTCTGCATGGACGGGTGCAAACGACGACAATCCCAACCTAGCTTTCAATCACGGCAAGCCAAGCCCGATCAGACGCAAGGGCCTGCGACACAATCCGATGAATCCAACCTTGAAAAGATCTCGTTCGCGTCGAATTGCCGATGCACCCCAGACGATCTAAGAGTCATGCAATCATACACAATAAGTTGCCGAGGTGCGTTGAATGCTCTACGAGCAGCTATTGGTGTTTCCAAAGTCTTCCAATGTCAGTCCAGAACTACCAGGAGTGAGGTTTAGGACAGGCCCTGTATCTTATCTGCTATCTCACACACCAACTTCTAATCTTAGGCTTTACTTTTCCTCCCCGTGTCTTGGTATAATACTATGTTCTTGGCCACTTGAAGAGAACCTCCTCAGGCTCTAGCTAATTGGGTGGTGGAGAGGAGTAAGAGCTGCCTCGGCTCAGGCATCAACGTCGGCGAACTGCTCTTGGGATACACCAAGATCTTGATGGTGAGACGGGATCATTCACGTAGAGAGGAGAGCGTGGGATGAGAAGGAGGGTTGAGCAAATCGTGTGTATAAGTATGAGGCATCTTCACCTCACAACCATCCGGCAAGCTTCAACAACGAGCTCCTTCTGCCTTTCACTCACTCTCGCTCTCTCTGTTCGCCTTCGCCTTCGCTTTTTGACGCCGTCGTCTCTTTACCAAACACATCTTTCGCTCTTACTTCCATCATGATGAATACCATCATCTCTATCCTGGCTTTGGCCATCGTCTCTTCTGCCACGCCTATCGCGCTCCCCAACTCGGGGTCTGCCGTGGTTGCGACACGCCAAATCTTCTTTGACCGCACCAGCTTGACCGAGAATGAGTTCTCCAGCCGGCTCGGTGACGGCTGTAGGGACGTCATCTTTGTTTGGGCTCGAGGATCCACTGAAGCGGGCAACATGGTAATTTATCCAAGAGTTGGTTAGTTGTATTTTGGTTTAACTTGAGAGAATAGGGCTCTATCATCGGTCAGCCACTTGGCGATGAGCTGCGCCGCGAATACGGTGACGACCTGGCTATTGAGGGCGTCGACTATGCAGCGCTACTTTCCACCAACTACTTGCCCGGTGGCACTGATCTCGTCTCTGAGCGCGAGATGCGCGGAATTCTCGAAGATATCAACAGTCAATGCCCTTCGGCTATCATCGTCTGCGGTGGCTACTCGTATGTTTCGCCCTTTTCCCCGACTCATTCAGAGACTAATCATGACCACAGTCAAGGTGCGGCAGTCAACCACCGTGCTATCGAGGATCTTTCCGCCAGTGTCAAGAACCAGATCGCGGGTGTCGTCACCTTTGGCGACACCCAGAACCGCCGTGACAACCAGCAAATCCCCAACTTCCCCCGCGACAAGCTCCGAATCTTTTGCGGTGGGCTCGTTCGCGACACGGTTTGTGACGGTAACCTCGCAGGGGCTGTTCTACTTCCTCATCTCAGCTATGGCGATGACGCGGAGGAGGCTGGCGAGTTCTTGATTGGAAAGATCAATGCGGTTCGTGCCGCTAAAGCTTAGTTTACTTTATGTGAACATGAAAGGCTTTTCTCGTGCTTTTAATTTCTAGAGGAACGCCTAAGGCTTAGGGGGGTAGAAGGGTAGAGAAGGCGAAGTAAATGCAAAATCATACAAACAACCCCTTAACCAGTCCCTCAACAGCATCATAAACCTGACCTTCCTTCTGCCCACCAGTCGCTCTCTCAGTGATCACCGGAATCTGATCCTTGCCCACCTTGTAATTTCTCAAATCGCTATCCAGCTCCAGATCCTTCACCAACTTCAGCACCCTATCACCTACCTTCTCCGCATCAGCCTTGGCATCACCAGACGCCGATTCGCCGATAAAAGGAAGCAAACGAGCAACTTGCTCCGCTGCAGCAGGGTCTTGAGCTTTGAGCTTGACCACATGTCCGAGAGTGAGACAGGAAGTAATGCCATGCGGGATACTATAAGGAGAACCTAGTGCGTACCCCAGAGCGTGTGAGAGGCCTAGACCGCCCTTGATGTTGTAACCCAAAAAGCCCAGGGAAGCGAAAGCAGCGAGTTGAAGCTTCGTGATCACATCTTCGTCTTTGGGGTTTTGCTTGTACTTTGGCAGGGCTTCGAAGAGGGTGGCCGCGGACTGTAGCGTTAACCATCTGGCAGGCATCTCGGTGGCGGTGGGATGGTACAATAGCTCGATAGCATGATCCATGGCACGGAGACCTGTTGACATCCACAGGCGCTCGGGGGTATGCAGGGCGAATTTGGCATCGTAGATTACGCAATGAGGAACGAGTTCTTTGGCTCGCACGCCTGTCTTGACACCATCGGATTGCGTGTAGCCAGCCATCAGGGTGCATTCACTTGCGCTGAGCGTGGTGGGGATCGCGATGTGGTATAGGTACTTTCCAGTCTTCTCGTTCAGACGATAGCTGATGGCTTTGGAGCTGTCGATCGGGCTTCCGCCGCCAATGGAGATGACAGTATCGATGCTTTCGTCTTTCTTGACTAGGTCGGTGGCTTCGTCGAGTTGGGCGACAGGTGCGTGTTCGCCGATCTTGGAGAAGGTGCCTGCGTGCTTGTTTCCCAATAGCTCTTCGACTTGCTTTACCAAGGGCGTTTTGCTAGCAAGTGAGTTTCCGGTGATGATGAAGGCTTTGCTTGACTCTTTTGGGAGGCATGAGAGGAGATGCTGTTTAACTGAGTCGGCGCCGTAGTGTAGTTTCTGGAGTTGCGTCGGTTGCCAGAGACCGGAGAGGGGGTGGTTCGTTGCGTCTGTCATCTTGGGCTTGGTTTTAGTCGAGCTGAGTCGAATGCTCAAAGGGCGTCGGTATTGAGTACCAGATGGGCCGATCCCGGTGGGTGTACAAAGCGGAGAGTACTTCAATGAACAGTGTATGGACTTGGTGACGATTGATCTAGTGATGATGGTCCCACGCGCGATGAGGAAACCTTGTTTGACTGCAATGTGAGATGGAGTCATAGGAAGAGGCTGTTCAATCTGGGGTTAACTTTGCGCATAGTCAAAGGCCGGAAGCCAACGGTTGTGAGGTCGGCTATGACGTAAGACTTTAGCGGGTCGACATTATGAGGTTATCCCGAGGTTCGGATAGCGGGGCACAGAAGATCATGTAAACCTATAGTGTGGTTCATTGATCACGATATTAGCGCAAATGTGAGGACAGTAGCATGAACATTTCAAATCGTAGATTGTAGAGCGGAGAAGTAAGCGGAGTGCTACCATCTCGCATCTCTAGACTATGGTACATTCATGACTCCACCATTATATCGTCCCTTCCACATCGTGTCCTGACCACCAGAGGATATCACTGTTTCGTTAATTCCGACGTGTACCAAGGATCCGTAAGGGTAATAAAACAAACGCTAATGTGAGAAGAGAAACCGTCGGAAAGTATGATACAGAGATGCTCAAACATGTGCAGGGACATGTACACGTCTAGACGTGACCTAAACCAGACCAATCATGACAGGATGCAAGACGCCTACTTTTGGACGTAACGAAGCGATCAACAAGAAAGACAAAAACCAGTGCTGAACGATCAAAGCATTTACTGCTTCTTCTCGCCCTCACCCTCTGGCTGCTGAGGCTGCTCGCTCTGGTTTTGGCTCTCGGAGCGGGCCTTGTGCATCTGGTCGAACAGGCTCAGGGAGGCGTTCTGGAGTTCGTCGGTCTTCTCCTTGATCTCAGCGGCGGTGGCAGAGCCCTCGCCAGACTGGCTCTGGGAGATGAACTCGCGCATGGAAGCGATCTTCTCTTTGATCTTCTCGGCCTCAGCCTTGTCGAGGCGGTCCTCGAACTCCTTGAGAGCCTTCTCAGTGTCGTTTACAACACTGTCAGCGCGGTTGGCAGCCTCGATGGAGTTCTTGCGCTCCTTGTCTTGCTCAGCGTACTGCTCAGAGTCCTTGACCATGTTCTCGATCTCAGCGTCTGAGAGACCAGATCCGGAAGCGATGGTGATGGACTGGTCCTTGTTGGTGGACTTGTCCTTGGCGTGAACGTGGACAATGGAGTCAGCGTCGATATCGAAGGTGACCTCAATTTGGGGTACACCACGGTGGGCCGGGGGAATGCCAACGAGCTGGAAGTTGCCGAGGAGCTTGTTGTCGCGGACAAGCTCACGCTCACCCTGGTAGACCTTGATCTCGACAGCGCTCTGGAAGTCAGCAGCGGTGGAGAAGACCTGGGACTTCTTGGTGGGGATAGTGGTGTTACGGTTGATCAAACGGGTAAAGACACCACCGAGGGTCTCGATACCGAGGGAGAGAGGAGTAACATCGAGCAGGAGGAGGTCAGTGACCTCACCAGCAAGAACAGCACCCTGGATAGCAGCACCAATGGCAACAGCCTCGTCGGGGTTGACCGAC